CCCCCCTCCCACCCCAAGCGGTCCCTCGAGCCAGGCTGGAATGTGCGTGGTAGGGACAGAACCAATCCCATTAGCACGAGGAGATTGTTTTTCGTTTGGTTTTGTTGTTGTTGAATCACCCGTGGCTCCGCTTCTTTGGGGTAGGTCTTAGGAAGGAGAACGAGGAGAGGAAACCCATGGATGTGTTTTCCCGGGGTGGCCATCCCTGGCATGGCGCTCCCCTGCCGGCCTGGCTGCCTGATTTTGGCAGCACCATGAGGTTTCCATCTTTGAAGGCCTCGAGGGCTTCGCTGCCGGCTCCAGGACGGTGCCCGGCGCTGTGTGAAGGAGCATTTGTAAGGGCGAGGGCTCAGCTCCCACGCGCGGGGTCGGGAAGGTGCCGCAAGCCAGCGGCGCTGCCAGAGCTCGCTTTGAAGCCCTGTCCAAGTCCCCACCCCACATCCTCATCCTCTCTCCATCTCTGGATGGAGACTTGCCTCCGGTGGGGTTAAAGCTGAATTTACGGCTCTGTGTGGTGGTCAGGACAGCACCGGACTGCAGCCATGTGCTAGCAGGAGCCGGGCCAGGGGCAGCGAGAGGCAGCTGGAGCAGCTAGAAAATATCTTCTCCCCAGCTGAGAGAGGAGCCCAGGCTCTTTTCCATCATCTTCAAAAGCCCTGCTCTGGCAGAGCCCAGAACCGCTGTTTCACCCTGAAACATGAAAGACTTTCATTCCTCCAGCACAAGGCAAGAAGAAGAAACCTCCCCCCTGGCTGCTTTGTGTCCAGCAGCATCTCCCTGGGATGCGAGTGGGAAGGGGAGCGATGGGTACAGACCCAGGTGAACCAACACCGCGTCCACTCTGAATCAGGAGAATTGGTCACAAATCACGAAAATGGGGGTTTGGCACATGTATGTGCAAGGCAGGGCCTGCTCGGAGTCCTGCCCCACGCTGCTGTCCCACTCCTGGGCACCCCAACGCTCTTCCCAAGCAGAGACACCCCGGTGGGATACGGCCCAGGGCTCCAGGTCCCCGGCAGTGGGACAAGGAGTTGTGAGTGCTCCCCAAGTCATCCTCGGCATGGGAGAGCACGGTGAGAAATGGGGGCAAACAGCACCGTTGGGAGCAGACGGCAAGAGGGGAGGGAAATCCGTGCGCAAATGCATTCACCGCGTGGCCCAGCTCCTCAGCTGGAGTGTGCGAGCAGCGGTGGAGCCGGGCCAGCTCCCGGCAGCTGAGACTTGCCGGGGGGGGAAAGGAGGGGGCATTTTCCAGAGGTGAGAACAGCAGCCACAGAGAGAGCAGCCGGGGGGGGCCACCGACCCCAACCACAGCCAGAGAGACCCCCGCAACCCTCAGCACAGGGGCCGAGCGGTGGCACCACGCAAGAAGGGAGATGCTGCGGGGGCCCGTGGTGGCAGGGTGGGGGGCAGCTTGCTGGCCTCCCCCTGCTTTTGGAGGCCACTTATTGCCGCAGCGTGGCTAGCAGCCCCCACGTACCGGTCCGTGATGTCTCGCCGACCTGCGGGCAAGTGTGCGGCGGGTGAGCGGGAGGACGCAATCGGCCGTGGGCTCACGGTCCCCGGCGCCCTGGTCGCTGGCGGGAGGGTGCGAGTCCCCCGCGGGCTGTCGATGGGGCCACACACGGTGAATTTTGCTTCTCCCTTGAAAAAATAAAAAGAGGGAGCGAGAAGGAAAAGGCGTCGGATGGAAAACACCCCGGCTGCCTGCTGGGGGGAGTGGAACCAGCTAATTTCATGCGTCTCCTTCTTGTTAGAGTGGGGTCCCTCCTCACCTGCTCCTGGGCACGGTTTCCTGCCCCCCCGAGCCAGCAACGAGGAATCTGATTCCATTTTAAAGGCGAGGAGCTTGTCCACGGTTTGTAGCCCGGCTGCCATCCCAGGAGGGGACCCGCTTGGAGCCGCTGCCCGCGGCGGGCAGGGTTTACCAGCTGTCCGCACCAATCTTGTGCCCTGCCACCTCCCTCTGCATGGCAGGGGGGTGCAGAGATCCCGGTGTTGGGGCTCTCCCCCCCCCGCAGCACCATCCCAGGGGGTTTCCCTCTTTGCTCCCACTCGCACCCAACCGCTGCTCCGTCACTGCAGGGGGTTTGGGGGCAAGTGGCTGCCAGCACCCTCGCCCGGCCCATATCGGGGCTCAGTGCTGATGCCCTGGGCTACGTATGGAAAATGCTGGAGAAAGACACCCCGGGACACGCCCGCCGGGGGGCACTCGGTGGCTGGGCCCCAGCTCGGGGGCTCTTGCCTCTGGCTCATCGGTTTGTGCCTCCCCCCAAAGGCTGCTCAGCGCTGGGCTCCCATCCCTCAGCCCTTCCCTCTCGTCCTGCCGGCCCCCAACACCCCTCTGCCCACCCCGGGCCCCCGAGGCTGCCTGCGGAGAACACCCTGCGAGCCCCCACATCCCATCGCCCAGGGAATGCGGCCAGGGCACAGGCTCTGCCTCCCACGCCGGCCCACGCTCCGCAGGGCACAGGCAGGGCAGGCAGCGAGCTGAAAACACCAGCCCTGTCCCCCTCCCTGCTCAGGCAGCTGAGCCCAGCCCGCAGAGCGCAGCATCCCCCTCCAGCACCCAGCGCTGCGTGGGGGTGACATCGCACCCCCAATTTAGGGACGGGCGGGGGCCGTGCTCGGGCAGCAGCAGCTGCTGGCAGGCGGCCGACCAGGCTCTGCATCCCCTTCGGAGATCTGCTTTGGCTGGGACTCGTGTCGAGCCCCCCAGCATCCCCCCGCGTCCGAGCAGCACCTCCTCGTCCCCAGCTCCACATCCCAGAGAAAACAAGCAGCCGAGGCCAGCACCAGCCCCCAGCTCCTCGGGGGCCCCGCGCTGCTGCTGGCTCCGAGGCCGGGACCCCGCTGAGCTACTGAAGTGCTAAAAACGAGCCTCCAGGCCCTTGCGTGAGCTTTTGTGTCGTGCTTGGCATGGGGAGAGCTCGGCTGTGGCGTGGACACGGGCTCCGCGCCAGGAAAAACACACGCGGCGGGGGAAAGGTGGGCGCGTGCACGTGCCAGCGCGTCCTGGCCCTCAAGCCCCGGGCGGCCGCGGCGCGTTTCGCTGACGTGTCGCACGCACAGCCCGATTTACACTTTTCCTCCTCAAAACGGGCGCTTGGGTGTCAGGAGGCGATTTTCGGTGGGGAAAAGCCCTCGTCGCGCAGCCCTCCTGTACGTGCACACGTGAGCATGGGCACGCAGCCCTCCCCGCTGCCCTGGCTCAGCCTCCTCCTCCTCCTCCTCACAGCTGACGGGTGGAGGTGTTGGGGTGCATGGTGGTCCCCTGTCCACCCACCCCATGGGCGTTGGCACCGCTCCCCAGGGAACGCAGCATCTCCTGTTTCGTTTGATGCTGAATCTCTGGATCCGGTGAACCTGCAGCCTGCAGCAGAGAGGAGCGTGGCTCCGTGTCCATGCCAAACAGCCCAAGCAGGGGATTTCTCTCCGGTTTGCTGGAGGTTTCATCCTGGCTCAGCTTGCTCGCCGTCCTGGTGAGCTAGGAACTACCTGCACCCCGCCACCGGCCCCACGCAGGGGCTCAAACCTGCTCCCCAGCTGGTGACGGGCACCCCGTGAAGCCACCGACTCCTCCGGGTCTGGTACAAACCTTTTATTTCCCCTCCGTCCGCGCCGCTCAGCCAGCCTGGGGCTGGGTTTGCCCTTTGGAAGTGAAGCTGGGGGGGCTCCGTGGCCGCCCCTCTGCCCCCCACCCCAAGCTCACGGCCCAGCACAGTCGCACCCCAGGGACGGGACAACACCACAGACTCCACCGAGCTTTAACCGAGCCAAGCGGCCAAAAGCAACAATGAAAAGTGTACCCCAAAACGGACACGAGACCCTCCCACCCCCCCAACCCAGTTCCCCAAACCCAGATATGTCGCACGGGTGAAAGT